TGAAATATTTTGGGTAGATTTTCAACTCCAAGTTTTGCCCGGGCAGCGCCGTTAGGCTTCTCTTTTCGATGTATAACTGCCAAGGGATTTTGTTTTACTTGCGCAGCAATACACACGGACGTCCGATCTCACTATCGCTACCCAGAGACCAGAGCAAATTCCCTTAAATCCACGTTAAAAAAAAATCCCAGCTCTCGCCGGGGCCTAAACCTGCGACCTCTAGCACGCGAGGCGGACACCATACCCCCAGACCACTCAGCCCCCCTAGCTAACAAATAACCCTTTAAAGCATCAGCAGTCAGCCGGCTATCTACCATTTTGACCGTAAGTTTATTTAAATAGTAGTAGAAGTGATGTTGGTGGTGGTTGTTGTGGTGGCGGCGGCAGCAGCAGCAGCAGTAGTGGTTTTGAAGGTCACTAGCCACCCGGCGTAAACTCAAAGGCTAAAAAAACTCACCTCTCCACCCCCCCCCACACACACACACACACTCACACATACACACACCCGCATACACCGCAAAAAATGACAAATACATTCAATAATCATATATCCTGTTCAATCCTTCTAGGTTATAATATGGATATTTAGAGTTCTATTTTCAGATAATTAACATTTATAAATATTTCATTAACTTGGCTATGTCATATTGCATAGATTATACGTGATAATTATAACAGATTATAAGATTATAACTAGATTACAAGTAACACGTATAACAGAAAATACTTTACAAACATTCACAAGTTGGTTATATTTTCACGCTAATATCGTCGTCCCGATGGATTATTTTGAAGCCCCCACCTTGGCTTTTGCCGGGAGCCAATAATATAGCCGAGCCTTAAATATGGCCTAACGTCTGAACGGGGTTTTCGGAACCTCTTTGCGGGTGATCCTCATCCGCATGGTGGCACTTTGTGTCACCGGGTGTTTACCGCTTGTGTGATGTCCTGGTGGGGTACAACTTACCTACGTACAGTTACAGGTTGGTTTATCCGTAGTGTGGGTATTTTTTTAAAGTAATTTGGATACTAATATTAGTAATTGGTTTGAGAGCATTATATATGTCTATATAGATGTGTTTTATTGTGTTCTTGTGATGCACTGTTTAATCTTTCCCTACACTTTTCGTAAGCTATCTTTAGCATGTTTTAAAGTGTCACAGACCTATTATTACAGTTGAAAGATAGCCAATATCCCACCAACCGCCTTTACTTTCTATGACATTTTCTGTTATTCTCGTTAGGCTGGGTCGATCTGAAAGCCAAAGTCAAATTAAAAAAAAAAAGGGAACCTCAATATGGGTTTGAAACTTAGCACTAGGAGCTGAATGACAAGAATCTAGCCACTGTTTTATCGAGGCTCCTGATTTATTATATCGGCTGGTCAATGTTATGGAAAGAAGGCTCATAGACGTATACAATTACTGAAAAAAGAATTACTACGCGTGCGCATCCGTTTAACAGATCTGACTCATTTGTATGCAGACTGTTGACTGCTTGGCTCTCAGACAGATGCACTCCGACTTCGTAGGAAGCTCCCAAAGAGTCGACTTTCACGACATGCTTTTGGGTAGGCAGCGTGTCTGTTCGTGTTTTCACAACAATATGGCCTGGAACCCACACGAGTGTGTCGCATAAAGCACGGGCTCTGTAGCTACAGCGACGATCCCCAAGAAATCCATATAAAAATCGCATTTGTGAACCGAATCCACGACCTTGTGGACGTGAGACAAATGGCTTTATAGCGTCGCCACAGAGACCTCCTTTAAAATGAGATGTAATGGTTTATAATATTCATCGGGAAAACAAGATAGCAGAAACTAAACATCAAGTCATGCAAGAACGCAACTCGTGACTCAGTCACAGCTCTGAATCTCTAGAGATAGGACCTACGTGGTAATTCCCCTTTTATCTAGCAATTTTGTTTAACATGCAAGTAGGTTATTGTCAACACACAGCGTCACCTTATGGATCGATTCCCCCCCCCCTCCTCTTCCTCTCTCTCTCTCTCTCTCTCTCTCTCTCTCTCTCTCTCTCTCTCTCTCTCTCTCTCTCTCTCTCTCTCTCTCTCGCGTTGTACCCCACCAGGACATCAAACAAGCGAAAAACACAAATTGCCACTATGCGGGTGAGAATCACCCGTGGACAGGTCCCAGAAATCCCTTTCAGTCGTTCAGCCATATTTATGGCCCGGCTTTATTAAGGGTCCCCGGCAAAACCCAGGGTGGGGCTTCAAATTACGAAATATTGCATCCCACATGGGGACGACTGTTATAAAAACAACAAACTTAGGATCGGTGCAGGATTTAGGAAAAGACCATTCTTGAGACTTTCAGAGAGTGTACACAATTTGCATATTTGACAGATTGAGACCTTTTCATGCAATATTCCCAAAGTTCCGATTAATGCAGCCAAAGTATTTCACTTTCCTAGACATTCGGGCTGTTTATGCGCCAGTTTCTATTAAAGCCAGTTTTGTGAAGGCAGTTGACAAGTGCGATCCTTTTCCGTTTATTAAGAAAACAAAAATGAAAAATCGACCACGTGCCAGGTCTAATGGCTTAAATGGTTTGTTTTTGTTTTGTTTTTAAACAACGGACCAACATCATGACACACGGGTAGTAACCCATAAGTGCTGCGTACTTCTTCTAACTCAAATCTGAGCTCGAAGAAGCTCTCCAAAGCACTCCAAATTTAGCCCGGGCAGTGCCGTTAGTCTACTCTTTTCGATTTCCAACTGCCATGAATTTTTTTTTTACTTGCGCAACAATGCACACAGGTGTCCGATTTCACTACCAAGAGACCAGGGGGAATTACTAGAAGTCCAAACCCACGTGAAAAAATCCCAGCCCTTACCAGGGATCGAACCCATAACCTCTAGCACTCGAGGCCGTCACCATGCCTTGAGACCACGTAGACCCCCATGGCTTAAATGGTTTGTTGTGCCAGCAGTTGTGACGTATTGTAACTATCTGTATGTATTGTCTTTTCTGAACATGTTTGAGTCCGCCTCTTGGCTCTAGATCCGTGTCTTTAGTATATTTATGATGGAATCGTTCTCCTAATCTTGTTGGGGCTCCTGATATGCGTTAGTCCTACTTAGGTTCCTTGTTGACCTCTGAGCATTGCAGACAAGTTTCAAGGCTGTCATATTATATTATTATATTAAAAATGTGAATGTTGTAAATGCCAAAATTGATATAAATCAAATCAAACATTTTGAAAATATGGGTCCGCAAAAAATAAACTATGCTCACTTTTTATCGTAGAGATTATGCACTCATGACCAGTGGTTGATCGTAGCTATAATTAATGGGCGTGCAACTATAGAACATACTTAGTCATTGTTTCAATATTTTGTAAGACGAAACCAAGATAAAAATGAAATTTATACACTCATTTGATAAAATTTGGCTATAGTTGTAAATGGCAAAGTGTTTAAATTATAAATTCATTGCATGGTCATTGCGCAATCGTTTAGACATCTCTGAACTATATAAACTGCCTAACTATCTACCCCCTTTTCGCTCCGTAACATTACTTCTAAACATCGTTAACTTGTTAGACATGCAGATGTAGCCCTATGGTTTCCACAAAATAAATGGCCTCTCAAAAGGGCTCTTCAGGTCAAAAGTATTTTAGAACAGCCGATGTATAAAATATTAGTCTAGCGACATTTGTCCAGTCTGCACATTGTTAAAATAAAGACCCTTTACTTTACTTAAAATTACTGCGGATAATTTATATATTTATATATATATATATATATATATATATATATATATATATATATATATATATATATATATATATATATATATGTATATATATATATATATATATATATATATATATATATATATATATATATATAGAGAGAGAGAGAGAGAGAGAGAGAGAGTATTTTCCCCTGTGTTCCCCTCCGCAAATACAAGCTGGAGGTCTGACATCCAGCGATTCAAAGACCCACTGTTTAGATGCCGTTCCAATATAAACAAAACAAATCCTACACACTCCTCTCCACGTATAAAACGATTAAAGTGGAGTAACCTACAGTTCACAAAAAGTAAAATGGATATGATATTCCAACAACGTAGTAGAATTCAAGGTGAAAGTGAAAAGGTGGGGAAAAGTATGGAACTGAATTATCAAAAGCAGGTAAGGGGGAAAAGTGTCTACACTATCAAACAAATCACATGACACCCCCAGAACATAGAACAGTCTGTGGGAAATCTCGCGCCAGACGAGATGGGGTGATTTTTGTGATGTGTAGCGAAAAGCTATAATACACTTTTAAGACTAGTAAACATATTTAAATCTGCCTATTTTTTGTAACAAACTTTTCTAGCTAGAAAATCACCAATACTTTGAGTGCCAAGCAGTTGTTGCTTTAGCGACTCATGTCCCCGGGCTTTGCGTTCACAAGCGGTAAATACTTAATACTTGGGTCTCATGGAGTTGAAAAATAGACATAGGACAGAAGTAAGTCAAGTATATGACCCTGCTCCACCGCCTAAAGCGTACTGGGCATACAGGGCTTGATCTATATTTTATAGAGCAATCGACATTCGATGAGTGAGGTCGTCACCTTCACGTCGGCCGTCTTTATTTCCCATGACTTTACCGGGTTTCCATTTAGGGCTAGGTCGACCTGGGAGCCGAAGTCCGGCTTCGTCAGGACCTAAACCTATAGCCTTCGGATCTACAGGCGAGTGTCTAGCCGTTACACCACAGCTGCTCTCTTAGGACAGCAGTAATTGAACTAACAATCCACAAAGCAAGCGATAATTTAGCAACTGTCTATGACAGAAGCAAACTACTGGACGTAAATTTGCCTAGAAAAACCACACAAATAATTGGTTCTGCAACGTCCTGTAAAGGAGACGCAACTAACCTAACGTATGACAGAAGACAGCGAGAAGATATGTTAATCTTAAAATGCACAAAGAAACATGTAGTGAATTGTTTGGTACAAAAAGAGTTAAGGAAGTAGCAAACTGTTATCGAGACTTTAACTCATCCCTTGGTGTTGGCCCTGGGCTGGGCGAATAGGCGCTGTTAAAATCGTAACGTTTAGTATCTCCGTTCCTGTTGTCAGCGTTTCTTGCAGACTTCTCGTCGTTCTTGCCGTGATATTCAGAGATCATGTTGTTGCTCTAACAAACGGATGAAAAACACAATAAAAAATATTAAATAAGCAACAGTTAAGAAAAGGGTCAAGGAACCAGAAAAAAAATTAACCCAGAATTATTCTTTGTGTTATTCATTGTAATCATAGTCTCATAACACAGTATGTAGTTAGATCAGCGATAACTGTTGACTGATGTTTCTTCACCTCTATCGATCAGATGCAAAAGACTTGAGGGCTGCAAGTTTTAAGCCTGTCATTTCAGCTAAATTCTGTATCCAGACGCTTAAGTCACCAGTGAGTATTTTAAAGAGAAGTAATCAACTGAAGATAGACGTGGCTCAAATATGAGATACAATTCCCCTATTTAGAGATTTAGCTTTAGCCGTTAGGGCATTCACCGAGTGCCGATTGGTCTGTAAAAATATGGGTGCTCTTCCATATGCCCGATGCTCCAAAGGGCGTGTAAAGGGATCTTTACTTTACTTTACGTTAGGGCATTGGGCAAACAGCGAGAGGTTTACAGCAGCGGTCTTCAACCTTTTGTTTAGTGGTTACCCACCCCCCCCCCTCCCCCCCCCCTTGAGTATATGGCGACCACCCCCTCCCCACCTCAAATTAACAAAATGTGATTAATAAGAGGACAAAAGGAAAAATCATCAGTACTGTTGAGAAAAACAAGAAAAACATTCACGCAATTAAAAGTGTAAAAAACAAAAAGAAACATCTCTAAAAACGGCTAATTTAGTGCCCATATATCTATGTGATGATTGCTACCGTTTTGTTTTGATGATATCTACTATTTTTGGTCTAATGTTTGACGAGGCACAACGAAGTTCATTCTCCAAATGAAACTGACAACGCCGTTTTGTTTTCATGATTGTTAAAGTTGAACATCCTGATTGTTACAAGACTTAGTTTCAAAATCACCTGACGCTGTGCTGGAACTTCTTTCTGACTGACTGACTTTCTACCCCAGCAGGACATCACAAAAGCGATAAACACCCAATGACACAATGTGCCACTATGTGGGTGAGGATCACCGTGGAGAGGTCCCAGAAACCGCTTTCAGTCTTTATGGCCAGGCTATATTGCGGCCTCTGGCAAGAGCCAGAGTAGGGCTTCAAATAACGAAAAATGTCATTTTAAAAAAAGACGAGTTAGCAACATTAATGACGTAACTTCCTTCCTAGTTTGAAGACCACTGGTTTACAGGGAATGTGGTCTTGCCCAGGGTATAATCATCATTTAGCATTAGTTCAGTCTACTTTTCTCCCTCTGGTTTGTGTCCTTGCCTTCGTCCAACACAATCCCGTCAGCTACCTTTGACTTTTTTCGTTTGATTTTATTTAAGTATTTCCTCTGTTGACTTTCTCCCATTGACTCTTTTACAGGTCGTGTACCCTTAGCTTTACTTTAACCGGCGTTCTTTTCCTTGACTTTCTCTCAGTTGACTTTACTCGCTTTGATTGTCGTCAGGTGCGGGTCATCCAGACAGAAAAATCTGCAAGTCACAATTACAGAGAAATCTACAGGTCTTTCGCATAGGAACATCTAGTCTACCCATTCAGAGAAACCTACAGCTCTCCCACACAGAGAAATCTACAAGTCACCCACACACAAAAATATACATGTCACTTTTACAGAAAAATCTACAAATTTCCCACTCAGAGAAATCCACATGTCACACACACATAGAAATCCACAAGTCATCCACACACATATAAATCTACAGGTCGTCCACAAGGACAAATCAACAGATCACCCAAAAAATAAATCTTCATGTCTCTCCACGGATAAATCTGCATATCACTTACACGGAGAATGTACAGGTCTCCCACTCAGAAAAATCTACAAGTCTTCCATATAGAGAAATCCACAGATGTCCCACGCACAGAAATTTACAAGTCAGAAACAGACATCATTAATTTTCCCTCTCAAAGAAATCCACACAGTCATAAAACAAGATAAATCTTCAGGTCACACAGAAAAGGAAACCATAGCTACTATTAAAAGAAAGGCGACACTAGGAAACGTACAAAATTATAAACGAAGACATCGTCGTCATCAATCAAAGGGTTCTGTATAGTTCGTCGCTCTCGTGGTGTCACGCCTGAAAGTCTCTCTCCTGTTTCTAGCCAATTCTCCAGCTCTTTGTGCTTCCATGGCCAGCGCATCTTCAATGTCTTGTATTCACCTTCGCAGAGGGCAGCCTAAGTCTCGATTTGCAGAAACTGTGTTCTCTATCATCGTTCGCTACCGACCACCATTGGGCTCAACTTGGTGAAAATATCGGGACAGAATGCTGTTTATGAGCCATATCTCCTCCATGCTCAAAACATGAAGGATGTCGGTGTTTTCGAAGACAAGATAAACACATAAATGATTAAGCTCCTAGCATGTTTTGAGTATATTACGAGCCAAACTCTCCACCTCCCCCCCCCCCCATCTTCCTGCTAGTCGACCCCTCCCCCTCTACCCTTCCACAATGCCTTCTGCTTCTATGTCTTCCAATCTGTCATAACCTTTAATATGGCCAAACTACTTCAGTTTTCGAGACAAGGTGCTCTTTACTAGCAAATTGACCTTGATGTTCAGATCTTTTAGGATATCAGATTTTATTTTCTTCTTGGTCCACAGTATTCTTAGAATGTTTCTATAGCATCGCAGGTCAAAACCCCGTATTTTATTTCGTAATGACTGCGAGATAGTGCTTGACTATGTTGGTGCAGGTAAGATGCATGCCATAAAAAAATTTTGACCGTGATTTCCTTGCTGATGCTTAACCATAGATTTGTAATGCTGTTAAATCTTTGCAGTGCTATGACCATCCACCGTTTGACTTCTGTTGAGCAATCTTCCTTGCTGTTTACTTACCGTTTAGCCTAGATATTCAAAGTGTGTGACATTTCCAGTTTCTGCATCATTCATTGTTATGCTTGAGTAACAGGTCGGCCTCTGTGACATGGGCGTTACGCGCTTCGTAATCCCGAGGTGCCGGGTTCGATCCCAGGTGCGGGCCTTACGCCTTGCGTTGGTTTCGACAGTGGTATAGAGAAGCCGACCGTCCAGTGAGCAATGGCAAACTACTGGACGTAAATTTGCCTTTAAAAAAACCACAACAGCCAAAAGCATATTTATTCCAACTCTGTGCTACCAGTGCCAGACATGGTCACTCACAACAAACCATAAAAGAAAATTAGTAACCACGGAAATGAGATGTCTGAGAAGGGCTGTAGGAGTGTCCATAAGATATAAGATCAGGAATGAGATCATAAGAGAACAAGTCGGCACAGAACCAATTCTGGATTACATACAAAGACAGCAAGTGAAATGATTTGCCCACTTAGAGAGAATGCCTTGTGACACCATACCATACAAAGCATACATGGAAAGAGAAGAAGGACGTAGAGCACGGGGTAGACCAAGAACAAGATGGAAGGATAACATCAGAGAAACTCTACAACAGCACGATGTGCCTATGGTCGAGGCAGCCAGAAGAGCTAGAAACAGAACCTTATATCTCCCTCGACACCCAGAGCGGTAAAAGAGGAAGGGAAGAAGAAGAGGAGCCAAAAAATTCTGGGGTTGTTTCTGCAATGCCCTGTAAAGGATACGAGTTTAACGTTTTTGGTAACAGACAGATGTGTCTGTGGAAATTATTATGGCTTCAGTGGTAAGTTTCTTGTAATAATGTGGTGGCTAAATGTACTCACCCAGACATAAAATGTCGCAGCTCCAGCGCTGACCATGCGCACTGACCGTATGTTTGTGTCACTAAGATAGAACTCAGCGTCTTGGACTTGCGTCTTCTTCAGATGCACCACATCGCATTTCCCCATCCTACCCAGCATGCTGTTGTGGCCCAGCTGTCTCATAGAGTTCTGCACTCTAGTCCAGTTCTACAGATATGCGATATGCCAAATAAGCAAAACATCGTTATGTGTCACTTTATAACTGTACGGCTTGGAATATAAGGTCTTACAGTTCTATTGTTTAGAAAGCACCATACTATAGCCACCTTTTCTAGGTTGATGACAACACTCACTTCTG